GGAGGGGTGAGTTTCTGGGGAGAGCAAAAGAATCCTGCATAGCCTTTTGTATGATTTAATGAATTGCTTTTTCAAAGAAATGAAATGGTATTTGACATTTTGGGGCAATACTCAGGATATAAGTAAAAAGCATTTAGAGTGGTATTTACGAAGTGACTACAATGCCGAAAAAATACATTTATGTGGAAAAATACTGGAGGGAAAATTATTAACAGTGGCTCTCACTTGTGAGATTTTGGGCAGTAACACAAGGTGGTCTGAAGTGAGTTCCAGGGTAAAATTAGAAGGAATATGTGGTATGTACACCTCAGATGGTCCAAGAGGTGCGTTTAGGTTTTACATGGAAGATGATTTTTTATTTAAATGTTTTTATGAGGACCCCCTTTCTTATGTGATGCTAGTTTTCCATTTGTGGAAGTAATATATTTTCTTTTTTAAGTAAATTTATTTTTGAAAGGAGCCAATTTAAAGAAAAAAAGAAGTCAATAATGGAACAGGTGATAGGGAGGTCTGACAATGTATGTGAAGGTGGTAAGCAAAGACTGACATTGGTGGCTGCAGTGTACCTTACCCACCAGGCTTCCTAGAAGTGTGTGTGTGTGTGTGTGTGTGTGGTGAAGCCAGCTAGTTCAGAAAACTTTTTTTTTTTTTTTTTCAATCTGTGAGGCCAGTTAAGCTAGAGGGAAAGTCTCTTATTGCTCCTGGGAATGGGACCTCCTTGGGGCACCTTAGGCAATAAACTAGCCCTAATTTTCATCAGCCAACTAGAAAGAAACACTCTGACTCTGTCTCCTATGGACCCTCCCTATTTGCAGCAATTAACTCCTGAGCTGGTTTCCAGCCAGATTCAGAAGCATGCAGCAAAAGAAAACACTTCTACACTTTTGCTGATGCCAGAATGTTGAGAATCATGTCAAGGAACTAAAAATCCCCAGAACTCCATCATTTGTGCTACAGGGACCCATTTCAGAAGCAAGGGGTCTATTGGCCACTTCCTTACTAGACTATAACCCTGCCCCCTATGAAAAATGCATGACACCTCCCCAAAAAGCTTAGAACTTATATAGCTCCCCACTTCCCCATAGTGAGCTCTGATAGTGTAGTGCCTAAGGCACTTGACTACTAACCCAAAGACTGGCGGTTCAAACCCACCAGCCACTCCTTGGAAGGAAGGTTGGGCAATCTACTTCCCTAGTGATACTGCCTTGGAAACTCAAGAAGGGGTCCCTACCCAAGGAGGGGTCACTATGAGTCAGGTCCCACTCGATGGCAAACAACAACTTCCCCATAGGCTTTAAAACTTCCCCAATTGCTTTTGCTCAGAGAGACACAGCTTTGAGAAAATATTCCCTCTATCTCCTTATTTGCTGTAAATAACAAAAGCTATGCTGAAAACTCCAATTTGCTTGCCTCTGAGTTATTCTAAACCAGAGTATAAGCAGTGGACCCCCTTTGTGGGTTGTATTAGTTGGGGGGGGGTTGCAGGAAGAGTGACCCCAATGGAGACGCTCTTCTTTGAGGTAGGGCCACACTGTTCCTTCCGCACCATGCCCCTACATGTCTTGAGGCCTGTACACTTGTTTCCTCCACCAGCTTGTGAGTTCCTGGAGGCCAGCAACTTCATCTTACTTGCCGTTGTATCTGTAGAGATTAACCCAAGACCTGGAACACACTGAGATCAAGATGTTCTAAGTTCGGTTGTCTCCACCCTAGTTTTAGCCCTTCCCACAATGCCAGCTTGTACTAGTTGCCAAGATCAGAGACAGACACGCCAATGCAGTTTGTGGTTCAGCATCAAACACATTTATTTCACTTTTATTGAGTATACAAGAACAGAGAGCACACGCATACAGCACAGAGCACTGAGGTGGGGGAGCGCTGGGACAAGAGAGGAGAGAGGGGTGTGAGTAAAGGAACAGGACAGCATCGCAGTTGGTTGTAAGGTGCTTTTGGGAAAAAAAAGAAAAATTATTTAGAGTGATGTTGCTCATGCAGTTTCTGGCCAGTCTTGTAATGTGCTTGCAGGATTCAAAAACGGAAACAGGTCCTGGCACCTACTGTACCCTCAGATGGAAAAAGATTCCAAGAAAGCAAAGTAAGGAAAACGAAGAGCTGGAGGATGACAGAGTGGGAAAAGCCCCTGGTGAGCATCTGCTTTGATCTACTCATTTCGTGAGGGGGGAAACTGAGTCCCCCAATAAAGGGCAGTCCAATGTCACAGGGTGAACTAGGGGCTAGGCCAGGATGGTCACCCACAACTCCTGACTGCCCCCGGGGGCTTTTTCCACTTAACCTCCTGGGTGGGGAGGCAGCACAGAAAAGATGAGAAGCATATAAAAAGACAGAAAGGAAAAGTAGGTTGCAAACAGACAAGACAAATGCCTATATTCTCTCTGAAGAGGAGGATGGGGAGGAAACGGTGCCCTAGATTCGACTTTGCTGTTGCCCTTCTCCCTGGTGGCACTACCTGCCTCTCCGTGGAAGGAAGGTCAGAGCATCTCAAGGATGGAAGAGCGCTGCAAACCCTGGTCACCTCATCCAGCCCTGAAGTCACTCACTCAGGGACTGAAGGCAGGTACCTCTGGGGGGAGCAGAACAAAGATCCTTCCTCTGAGGTATGTTCAGCATGCTCAGGCCACCTGGCCCCCTACAGAGTGGCCCAGAGAGGACAGAACCACTCCAGCGTCTTTCTTGGCCCATTAAGAGTGTGAGTTCTCATGTTAAGAGAGTAGGAAGCTGATTCTATGGTTTTCCCACCAGGATTGTAACAATAATCTGGTGCATGGAAAGTATTCCCCACATGCAAGGGAGCTGGAGTGGGCCCACCAGCCTGGTCCAGGGGGAAGGTGGCCGATTCTGCCATCTGAGCCTGGCGCTAGTGCAGGTGTCTCTGTCCACTCTCCTTCCCATGTGCCCACAGGGGCAAATCTTATCTTGGGCCAGCACCAGCTAAGCAGTCAAGTGTGTTGTTGGAGTACCTGCAAAGGAAGCCAAGGGAGTACATCTATCCTGGGCTGCCCAGAGAGCATCTCTGGGCAATGTCAGGGCCCAGTAACTTGAAGAGAATGGGGTAATGCTCCCAGAGGGATCAGCCATTGTTGGAAATGCTAAGCCTGGCTCAGGTGGCTTTCCACGTCCCTCCCCTCCCCTCACACTTTCTCCTTCAGCCCTAGAATGGTGCCTGGCACAAGTAGGTACTCAATAAATGTGTTGAATACAAGTTACTGACTACTTTAGAAGCAAGACTGGGGAGGTCAGATGGGACTGAGAAATTAAAGTGCAGTGGGGACATTTTCCTTCAGAGGGGGACTTGGTGAGCTCAGGGAAGCAGCTTGGGGCGGCCAAGTCTGGGAAAGCCTACATGTGCCCGAGGGCAATGCCAAGCTGGTGTCAGGATCTTCACCAAGGGCTTCTGTGGTCTCGAGGCAAGTTCTGGGACTCCAAGGATACAGGCTCAGAGCTCAGATGCTGATGGAAGGGGAGGTCTCCAAAGCCAGGAGTCCAACATTGATTGGATCATCGGGCAATACCACCTTCTACCCTCAACTTGTTCTGGGGCCTTTGGAAATGCAGTGTAGATCTCTCAGGACCTGCCCTGTGTTCATCATCTCTTTACCAAGGCTACTTTGGCCCAGGAAGAAGTAAATGATCAGGATGTAGGAGGAGCAGAGGAAGGGACTGAGCTGGGAATGGATAGACAGCCAGGTTAAAGCCACCATCCTCTCCATGACCAAGGTACCACCTCCCTTTGGATATGGAGTTAGTTACCATGATGTCATCAGAGAAGGGCAAGACATGTGGCAAAAAAGAGAGGACTAAAAACCAATCAAGCCCCCTTGGGAGGTAGGGGAACTGAGCCAGGGGCCCTCTGCTGTGGGGACCTCAGCAGTTGAATCCTAACAGTGGACCTCATGCCTGAGCACAGACCAGGCCCTGGCTGCCATGCCCCTGGATGAAGCATCATGGCCTGGTATGTTCTGGACTATATCTGTGTTGTTTTCTTCTTGCCAATTCCCTCCTTCCATTTGGAGACCCCACCCTTCCCCACCAATCAACCAATTACAAACACCACACACTGAATTACAACACTGAACCCTGCAGCCCCTACTGTGAGCCAACCCACACCTAGAGTCCGGGTTTTCTTAGCTGGGCCAGTTCAGTGAGATCTAGGAACCTTGGGATACATCAATCACAGATAATTATAATTTTTAAATGTCAGCTTCATACTTACCAGCACTGTTTATTTTAATATTTGTTTCCTGTTATATGTAATATACATAACTTAAAAGCACATCCATACAAATCTCCTACAAGCTGCACCTTCATAATGAGAAACCATCAACATACAATGTCTACTTCCCTTCTGTGGCTTGGTTTTCTTTTCTTTTTTCTCATTTCAAATGAGAGTCATCTGCGGTGGCCCTCAGCAGGACCAGACACAGAGGGTGAGGGGTAGGGGGTGGGGAAGTGGGAGGAGGGAGCCAAGACAGAAAATGACGACCAGACATGTGAGAGTCAAGGGTGAGGGGAGGCGGTAGAAAGGAAGGCGGATTTTGCAACCCAGTGTCAAGACCCAAAAAATAATAATCCAGTGTTCCTCCTCCTCCTAAGTGGGGAATTTTCTTTCTTGGAAAACGTTTGACTGTGCGTGTCTTGCTGCTGCGACTTCTCTTGCTTTGCTGCAAAAGTGTTTTCCTTTGCATTCAAGTGGGCAACAGATGCTGGAGAAGAACAAATGGAATGCTCGTCCACTAAATGTAACGTGCAGAACCAGAGTCATGTTGTACTTTCACAGTCATAACCGTCTGGCTTGCTTTTGTCGTTTGGCTGGGGAAGCGGGGGAGCGAGGGATTATTGTTGTTGTTGTTGTGTGTGTGTATATATATATATATATATATGTATATATATATTCTTGAAAAATCCCACCAGTTCTTCATTTTGTCTGCAAAGGAAAATGTAGGTGTTCAGATGTTGGCTGTGGCTGTTGCTGACTGCTCCGCCAGCCCCAGCAGCAGTGCAAGGACGCAGTGTTTCCTGTATATATATCTGTATCTATATATATCTATATATATATATATGCTTTTCCTTTCCCAGTCTCTCATCAGTGACAGTACATCGCAGCTGGGACGTTGGTGTTGAGTTGGAGAATCCAGAATGAAGGCCCCTTTTTAATGGTTCTCTGGCTTGGGTTGGACCAGAAATGCCAGTATCTCTTCACAGAGGTCAGGATTCCTGGGAGCCAGAGGCATAGGGGGAAGGCAGTACAGGGGAAGAGGAGAGTGGAAGAGGATAAGAAAAGTTAGGAACTTCTTGTTTAATTGTAGTATAATATATATATAACATGAAACTTGCCATTTTAAGCATTTTTAAGTGTATAATTCAGCAGCATTATATGTAGTCACAATGTTGTGCAACCATCAGCACTATTTGTTTCTAAAACCTTTTCATCACCTCAGACAGAAACTATGTACCCATTAAGCACTGACTCCTTAGTAAGCCTTCTCTCCAGCTCATGGTAACTAACCACGAGTTTACTTTCCGTCTCTATTTGCCTTGATGACTTCAAGGATGTCCAGGATTTCATTTCACTTGGTTCCACAATCAACGCCCATGGAAGCAGTCAAGAAATCAAAGGGCATATTGCACTAGACAAATCTGCTGCAAAAGACCTCTTTAAAGTGTTATAGAGAAAATATGTCACTTTGAAGACTAAGGTGCTCCTGATCCAAAAAACAAAAAACAAACTCAGTTTGTTGAGTCAATTTCAACTCATAGAAACACCCTTGCTTGGGTTTCCAGGCAGTATCTCTATTGAAGTCGATTGCCCAATCTTCTTTCCAAGGAGTGGCTGAGGGGGTTTGAACTGCCAGCCAGCCTTCTGGTTAGCAGTCGGATGCCTTAGGCACTACGCCACCAGAGCTCCCCTCCTGACCCAAGCCATGGTATTTTCAATAGACTCATATCATGTAAAAGCTGGACAGCGAATAAGGAAGGCCTCAGAAAAACTGATGCATTTGAATTGTGGTGTTGGTAAAGAATACTAAATGCACCCTGGACTGTTAGAACAAACAAATCTGTCTTGGAGGAAGTACAGCCAGAATACTCCTTAGAAGCAAGGATGGCAAGACTTCACCTCTTGTACCTGGGACATGGAATCAGGAGGGATCATCCCCTGGAAAAGGACATCATACTTGGTAAAGTAGATGGTCATTGAAAAAGAGGACCCTCTACAAGATGGACTGACACCGTGGCAGCAACAGACTGAGCAACAGTGGGCTCAATCAAGCACAGCAATGATTGTGAGGATGGCACGGGACCACGCAGTGCTTCTGTTGTGGATGAGGTCACTACGAGTCGAAACCGGCTCAACAGCACCTAACAGTAAGGCATTTCAGACAAGTAGATCCACACAGTTATCTGTCCTTTTGTGTCTGGCTTATTTTCACTCAGTATAATGATTTCAAGGATCATCGGTGTGGTAGGATGTATCAGTATGCCATGTCATTTTTATGGGTTAACAGTAGTCCATTATATGGCTCTACTACCTTTTGTTTACCTATTTATCTGTTGATGGACATTTGGGTGACTTCTACCTTTTGGCTATTGTGAACAGTGCTGCTATGAACACTGGTGTGTAAATTGTCATTCATTTTTTTAAATACATGGCAAGTAGTTTTTTAGCTACTCTTTGCTGTGTGCAAAGAACTCTGGTAGTGTAGTGTCTAAGGCATTTGACTGCTAACCAGAACTACTTCCATAGTGATACCACCTCGGAAACCCAAGGAGAGGTCGCTATGAGTAGAAACCAACTCAACGGCAGTGAGTTTTAGTGAGTGTTGTGTATGGGTTCTGGTAGTGTAGTGCCTAAGGCATTTGACCGCTAACCAGAAGGTTGGTGGTTCAAATCCACCAGCCACTCTGCAGAAGGAAGACTGGGCAATCTACTTCTGTAAAGAATTACTACCTCAGAAACCCAATGGAGGTCACTAGGAGTTGGAGTCAACTCGAATGGCAGTAAGCTTTTTTTTTCTTTTTCTTTTTGCTGTGTTGCCAGGCATAAGGTTCAGGAAAGTAAAGTGACTTTCCAAGGCCATACAATTTATCAGTGGCAGCTGAGATGTGATTCCCACATTTCTCTGACTCCAAAGCCCATGTGTATTTGTTTGTTTATTTCCAGGGAATTAGTATCTTTTGTTTTCCCACTAAAAATTTATTAGTTTCCTTTTACACTCAGTAGTTAAGATCATAATCCTTTCACTTTTTCTTTCTATCTTTTCCCCATTCTAAGAAATGTTTAGTCATGATTGCAGATGATACATTTTTGTTTTCCCTTTTTTCCCATGGGCTTTTTAGTACAGGCTGCTATGTCCTGAGGATTAAACCCCAGAGAGAACTGTTTAAATAAAGAAACTGGAGCCTAGATTCTACTAAGGTTTGTGTGACTCCAAAAGTTAGTGGTTAAGAATGTGGGCTCTGAAAGCTGACTCTCTGAGTTCAAATCCTACTCCCCAGCTCACTAGCTCTGTAATTGCAAGCATGTTTCTTAACCTCTATAAGCCTCAGTTTCTTCTTCTATAAAATGGGTTCTACCTCATATGGTTACAGGGAGAATTCAAAGCAAGGGACCAGCATATACTAAGTGCTGAATTTTTTTTGTTATTGTTCATATTATTACTCTTGTTGTTGTTATTAACATCACCAATCACTATTCCAAGCTCCTTAAGGGTCAGGGTTGTCTTTTACTTATCTTTGTCACTCCAGTGCCCAATGCTATGGCTGGCACATAGCAATACTCAAAAACATGTAATAGATGGATATATCATTCCTGCCCCTTACCATCTTCATTCAAGTGTGTGGATCATAACAATGTATGGGTAACACTGTGAAGAATGAGAATTCTAGAACACTTAATTGTGCTCATGATGAACCTGTACATAGATCAAGAGGCTGTTGTTTGAACGGAACAAGGGGACACTGCATAGTTTAAAATCAAGACGGGAGTGCATCAGGGTTGTATCCTTTGACCGTACTTATTCAGTTGTTATATCCAAATAATCAGAGAAACTGGACTATATAAAGAAGAACGTGGCATCAGTATTGAAAGCAGACTGTGACATACTGATGACACAACCTTGCTTGCTGAAAGTGAAGATAACTTGAAGCACTTACTGATGAAGATCAAAGACCACAGTCTTCAGAATGGATTATAGCTCAACATAAAGAAAACAAAAGTCCTCACAACTGGACCAATAAGTAATATCATGATAAATGGAGAAAAGATTGAAGTTGTCAGGGATTTCATTTTACTTGGAACCACAATCAACACCCACGGAAGCAGCAGTCAAGAAATCAGACAACACAGAGCACTGGGCATTATCTGCTACAAAAGACTTCTATAAAGTGTTAAGAAGCAAAGATATCTCTTTGAAGACTCAGGCCTAACCCAAGCTATGGTATTTTCAATCGCCTCACATTCATCTGAAAGGTGGACAATGAACAAGGAAGACCAAAGAAGATGCCTTTGAATTGGGGGATTGGGATGTTGGTGAAGAATGCTGAAAATACCAGGGACAGACAAATCTGTCCTGAAAGAAATGCGGCCAGAATGCTCTTTGGAAGTGAGAATGACCGTACTTCATCTCATCTACTTTGGTCATGTTGTTAGAAGGGACCATTCCCTGGAGAAGGATATCAGGCTTGGTAAAGTGGAGGGTCAGCACAAAGGGGAAGACCCTCAACGAGATGGGTTGACATGCTGGCTGCAATGATGGGCTCAAGCACAGCAGGGGTTATGGAGACGATGCAGGACTGTTAGTATTCCGCTCTGTTGTACATAGGGCCACTATGAGGTGGAACTGACTCCCAGCACCTAACAACAACACACCACCACCACCTACATGGTCAAGGGCTAATGGAGTCAAAGAAAAGGAATCTTTCTTGGCTTATTTGACAGAGAGCAAGTTGGTAGCAGAACCAATACTAGAAACCAAATCTCCTACTTTAGAACAGGCCAATTTTTTGCCCCCTCACTTAATGAAATTTTTGAAAGTAAGGAAGCTTTAAGAAGATGAGCTAGGTATTACCCACTTGCTGGCAGTGTTTGGGAGCCAGTCCTCTCTAAAGGAGGCCAGCCAATGGGAGATGACAGAGGAGAAACCATACGTCTGGCCTGTGAGGTTGCAGGGAACGAAAAGGTTCTGTGTGACACAGGCATGCTTTCCAGCCACCATCATCCCCCACCGCATCCTCTCAGCAAGAACTTCAAGGGGGAGGCGTTCAGGAAGGACAAGCCAAGAGTCAAGTGGAAGATTAAGCAAAGGAGGATGGATACCCATGTGGAAAAAGAATCTTGTGCCCTAGGCTGGTGGGGGACATTTATGGTCTGACTTTCTCAGGGCTCTTATCAATCTTTAAACATAGCAAAACCTCAGAGGGACAAGGATGCTAAGAAACCTCTGTATGCAAGATACCACTCCATTAGGTCACATATATTATCTTGTTTAATTATTACAGCAGCTCCATTTTATAGATGAGGAAACTGAGGCCCAGAGAGACTCCTCTGAGCACACAGCTCACAATGTGTTTCTGGTTCTAAAATCTAGGTATGTTCTTTGTACTCAATCCTACTACTTCTTAATCGAGGATTTTTTTTTTCCCCTTACAGTGGCAGGTCACAGTCTAAGTCTGCCCATCGATTAGTGAAGTACCTGCCGTAGAAATCGGTGTAAACATGAGTCTGGTATGTGGGATGTCTTCAAAAGCCCATGGACACTGCAGAAGCACAAGGGGCATCTAAACAATGTCTAGCTCTGAGCCACAACCAAACACCTTGAGGAATGAGTCTTGGGACCACAGTCTTGGGAGCTAGCTGAAACAATGTTCTACAATCTACTTTGGTGATGAGAAATGACTATGACTGGAGTCTTAAAAGCTTGGGAGCTGCTATCTAAGATGCAACTATTTTTCTTTCCCGGTCTGGAGCAAAGAAGAGTAAAGAAAGTCAAAGACTCAAGGAAACAATTAGTCCAAAAGACTAATGGACCATGCAAAGCACAGCCTCCACTAGCTTGAGACCAAGAGAACTAGACGGTGCCCGGCGACCACTACTGACTCCTTTGCTTGGGATCACAATAGAAGATCCTAGACATACTGGGAAGAGAAAAAAAAGTAGAAAAAAACTCAAAACCATGAGAAAAAAAAAATTTACTGGGTGCTCTGGTGGCGTAGCACCTAAGGCATTTGACTGCTAACCAGAAGGCTGGCGGTTCAAACCCATCAGCCACTCCTTGGAAGGAAGGTTGGGCAGTCTACTGCCATAGTGATACTGCCTCAGAAACCCAAAGAGGGGTCGCTATGAGTTGGATTCAACTCAATGGCACTGGGTTTGGTTTGGGTTTTGGTAGAGACAGGTAGAACCCCTGAATCTGTGGCCCTTAGACACCCTTCAATCCTGGAACTGAACCAACCCCCCGGGATCAACTTTCAGCCAAACAATAGCCAGGTCTACAAAGTGAGTAATAACATCAGCTAGGAATGTACTCCTCAGTTCAATCAACTATAAGAGACCAAAAGGGCAGCATTTGCCCAAAAACAAGGTTGAGAAGGCTGGAGGGGTAGGAAATGAGGACAAAAGGGAATGAGGAACCCAGAGAAGAAGTGAGAAGAGTTTTGTTACATTGAGGGGATTGCAACTAATGTGATAAAACAAACTGTTTATAAACTGTTGAGTGGAAAGCTATTCTGCTGTGTGAACTTTCACCCAAACTACAATAAAAATAAATAAATAGGCAATGTCTGGTGGCGTAGTACCTAAGGCATTTGACTGCTAACCAGAAGGCTGGTGGTTCAAACCCACCAGACACTCCTCAGAAGGAAGGTTGGGCAATCTACTTCCATAGTGATACTGCCTCAGAAACCCAAGGAGGGGTCGCTATGAGTCAGATTCCACCTGACAGCAGTGAGTTTGGTTTGGTTTGGAATTAAAAATTTATTATTCTCAGCTTATTACAGCAGGGCCCCAAGTATAGCATTTTGTTAGCCTACTTCTAGTTAGAAGGAGCTCTGGTAGCATAGTGCCTAAGACACTTGACTGCTAACCAGAAGGCTGGCAGTTCAAACCCACCAGCCACTCCTCGGAAGTAAGATGGGGCAATCTACTTCCGTAGTGATACTGCCTCGGAAACCCAAGGAAGGGTCGCTATGAGCCGGGTCCGACTTGACAGCACATAACAACAACAACAACAACTTCTAGTTAGTAGTAATAATAGTCATAATTAACTTTTATTGAGCACTTACTGTGTGCCAGGCACTGTGCTAACTGCCTTCTATGTATAACTTTAGTATTCATATGAGAAAGATACTATGAAAAGTCAGTGTGGTAAGGAGGTTAAGACAGACCATAGCACAGGTGGGAGTCAAACAGGTAAGGTTTGAATTTCTAATCAGTCCATCACTTCTCCAGCTCCAAGACTTTAGGCAAATCTCCTAATGTCTATGAGACTTAGTTTGCTAATTTGTGAAGTAAGGAAGAGTAATAAAATGAAGAGATAATAGTATTTATATCTGTAACATAGCACAGTGCCTGGAACAGTAAGCATCCCATACATAGCAGCAATTGTTGTTATTATCATGATAATTATTGCCTTTTGGCTGATGAAGAAACACAGTCTGATACAGTTTAATAACGAGGTCAAGGTCACACAGTTAATGTAGGGCAGGGCTGAGATTTGCATTCAGGTCTGGAGGACTATAGAGTTGCTCCTTGGGTTACCAAAAAGTACTTTAAAAAGGAGCTTTCTAATGAAGTACTGATTTATGCTACTACATGGGTGAACCTAAAAAACAATTATGCTGAGTGAAAGAAGCCAGACACATATTGTGTAATTCCATCTATACTGAATGTCCATAATAAGGAAATCTATAGAGACGGAAAGTAGATTAGTGTTTGCCAGGAGCTGAAGAGAGGGAGAATGGGGAGTTCCTGTTTAATGCTTATTATCCCATTTTTTTGGCGTAATGAAAAAGTTTTGGAAATACACAGTGGTGATGAATGCATACCATTTGAATGTAATTAATGCCACCAAAATATATATTTTAAAATGGTAATTTTTTTATATATATAGTATTTCATCTTAAATTTTTAAAACCCATAACACCATTAATACACCTAAAAATTTCTTTAAAAATTTTCTAATTCAGAGAGGACATTTCCCCCACCCCTAGAATTAATGAGGTCTGACTATGTTAACAAGGAGCCCTGGTGGCTCAGTGACTAAGCACTTGGCTGCTAACCAAAAGTTGGTGGTTCAAACCCACCAGCCATTCTACAGTTGGGTTCCATAAAGGACAAAGATGTGGCAGTTGGGTTCCATAAAGATTACAGCCTTGGAGACCCTATGAGGCGGTTCTACTCTGTCCTATCGGGTCATTATGAGTTGGGGTTGACTCGATGTTAACAGGTTTGGTTTGGGGTTGACTATGCTAACAGTCAGAAGTAGTTTCTACTTGGTGGTAACTAACAATAAGGTGTGTGGGCAGAAAAGGCAAGGGAGAAACTTCTGCCTCTCCAGGGCAACATAAACAAGGTGACCTTTACAGAAGGATCCAAAAGAGAGAGATAGGGTACATGGTGGTGCGTGGAGAATGGCATCAAAGAAAGAACTAATTGAGGAGTGAGGAGGAGGAAATGAGACAGTAAAGTGAGCCATGAGGTGGGCAGAAGTGAAAGACTGCATGATGGTGGGGTGGGCAGCATGTGGAGGCTGTGATGAGAGCACTGAATGGCCAGGGAAAATGGGGGGGCGGAGCCTGGAGGACTGGCTGTGAACGCCTTGGGAAGGAAGAAGAGGAGTGAGTTAGGGAATAGAGAAGATATTTGAGAAACACACAACAGATTCTCCAGGGAAGCACATTAACAGCCAGGCGATTGTAACCGAAAGACGCTCCATCTCTTCATTTTGTAAAGGAAGAAATTCAGCTCCCACAAGGGAAGAAACCCATGATCACATACTAAGTCAGGGGAATGGCTGAGATTAAAGCCAGGTCTCTGGATTCCCAGTTCAAAATTCATTGCATCAGTGGTTTGTTCCTACATTAAACTGTACATAAATTTTCCTAAAGATCGAGGTATAAGTCAAGATTCCAAAGCAACAGAGATTCCCAGGCTCTGGCCCAGACCTACTTATTCAGACTTTATGGAGATAGTTCTGTAGGATCTGTATTTTTAAACAAATATAGGTGATGGAGCCAGTCCAGGGCCAGCTTGGCAAATGTCCTACACTCTACCACACTGAGATCTGGGAGAGAAAAAGCAAGAACAGCAGGACAACTGAGAGGACAAGAGTGACAATCATTTAAACAAAAACCTGAAATAGGCTGGAAGGGAGGCTTCACCCATGGCCAGCTTACATTTCTTCTTGACCAGCACTGTCCAATAGAAATAGAATGTGAGAGCAATGGGAAACTAACTTACTATGTAAACTTTCACCAAAAACACAAGAAAATATTATTTTAAAAAAGAGAATGTGAGCCACATACAGAATTTAAAATTTTCTAGTAGCTACATTCAAAGTGTGAAAAGAAGCAGGTGAAATTAATTTTAATAATACATTTAATTAACCCAATATATCTAAAACATTCTCATTTCACATTGTAATCAACATAAAAATTATTAATGAGATAGTTCACACTTTTTTTTTTTCGTGTTAAATCTTTAAAATCCAGCATGTGTTTTTACCCTTAAAGCACATCTCAGCTCAGGTCAGCCAAATTCCAAGTGCTCAATAGCAACATGTGGCCAGTGGCTCCCATATTGGATACCACAGAGAGAACACTTCCATCATCACAGAAAGTTCCACTGGACAGCGCTGGTCTAGACCAGGGCTCAGCAGCCTTTCAAAGTGGTAGGAAAACATTTCAATCCTTTTTCTTCTGACATTAAGGGTGGTAATCAAAGGAAGACAAAGAAACATTCTTGTATTGTTCTAGAAAACCTTAGTTTCCATTCAGGGAAGAGGGTAGAATAAAGATCTTCTGTTTGTAGGGAGTCTTTGAAAAGGATTTTGTTTTTCATTGTGGAATAACATGTGAACATCTAAGTGTATGGCTCAGTGTATGCTCATAAAAGCACCACCCCGATCAAGATACAGAACATTTTTAGCACCTAAGAAGGTTCCCCTGGGCTCTTCCTCTATCAATATTATACCCTGGAAGTAAACACTGTTCTGCCTTCTATCTATGTTGATTAGTTTCTTGCATACTTGAACTTCATATGAATGGAATCAAATAGTGTCCTCTTTTGTGTCTGGCTCTTTCACTCACCATAATGTGAGATTTTTTTGTTCTAGGTCTGATACAGAATTCAGCAAATTTCCAGAGGATTAGAAGAAGCTGTTCCCAAATTCACACTGTAAAGCCCTATATACTGCCACCATCTCATCACTCTTGTTCACCATGACCTTCATGGCCCACAAAGAAATAGAAAAATATCAAGGCCCCTAAGATTCTGGCATCAGGAGGCCTGAGAGGTCAAAGGTTTGTAATCCTGCAAAATAGACAGGACCAAGAACTTTGGTCATCCTGTCTCTCCAGTAACATCCAGTGACCTATGATGGAGACAGAGACTCAGGGACAGGACTATGTGGCACTGGGGCTGGTAGGACTTCTCTTGACTTGTAGGCTTGACCAATGATGTCAAGCTTGCCTTTATCTGTACTACCTCAGCATCCACTACCAACCCTCTCTTTTCTTAACCATATCTGGACTCCCTTTTCTGGGTTGGGGACTGATATCCCCAAGAAGCTGAGGAACCAGTCTTTCTTCCCCTCCCCACTCCAACTTTTCCTATCTGGAGGAGCTACCTCACTCCTTTGAGCTACCAGCTAGGAGGTGGGGAGGGAGGTGTCAAACCTGAGATAGGGACCAAACCACCTGCTGGGTTCTCAGATGGAAATGACCTTCAGAAGATTTGCCACTGTTCTCTCCTCCCTCTCATGGCTGCTGACCTTCTCATAAGCTTTACCTGTGGCTTCTTGTCCCTCTCCTCTGGGGATGGGTCTGTTTCTCTGTATACCACAGCTTTGGTTACCAGCATGTCAGGATGCTGTAGTTTGGCCTCCTTGATGGCTAAAGCCAGAGCCTGGTGGAAAAGCAAAGCAAAGTGAGAAACCATGAAGTGTCAGATATGGGACAGACCTTGGAGACCAACTAACCCAAGCCCCTTAGTGCAAGCTGGGGAAACTGAGGCCTAGGGAGGAGCAGTAGTTAAACAGAGTTAAAGAGAGAGACTAGAGCTTAGTATGTCTGGCTCCTTCTGGCTCTTATTCAATGCCCCTTCCTTGAGGGCTCCTTGTGAGGGCAGGAACAGCAGGAAACACACTTTCTTTGCCCTAACAGCAGCCATTCATGGGTAATCCAGTATGAGAGAGATTGGGGACTTGGTAGTACCACTGGGGATAACATTCCCTGTCCCCATACCTGGTCCTGATCGACATCTTCATCTCCAGTAATGATGATTCGCTTCTCGATCCTTGTCTCAGAAAACCCTCCTTTCACAGTCTGCAGGGATGAGGGAGGTGAGGTCACTCTTGGGTTCTGATGGGGCAGTAGCCGTGACAGGGGATCTATCCAAATGTCTCTCAAGGGCAAGTCTGAGAACCAGCCATTACTTTCTCTCCTGGCTTCCTCAGTTTTTCCTTTTCTGGTTTTGGGAGCAGAGCTTGTCTGGATGTCACCACTCCTCCAACTGCTAAATTGTCCCATCTAGGTTTTCTAAGCCCGGCTCAAATGCTGTCTCCCTGATACTGGCTGACAATGATTCCACTTTCCTGCCTCGGGACTCCGTGAACACCAAGTTTGTATCTTTCACCGTTCTGGGCCTCTCTGCCTTGTCCTTATTTATGTATAAGGCCTGGCTCACCTCACTAGGGCAGGGTCTGTGTTTTGCTAATCTCTATATGCTCCCCTCTCCCATTCCCCTGTCCACTCTGACCAGGGCAGGTGTTGAATGCAGATTTGTTGAATGAACACATGAATGAAATGTGAATGGTGACAAGGTTCTACCTTAAATGATTCCAAACACTACTACAAGAGAAATTTTCATTACTTAAAACCTCTGCTATCTCTCCAAGGGGTTGAGTTTGGGTGCAAGTTTAGAAGAAGAGGGGATATAACCATATCAAAGGACGGTGGAGATCCAAGCTAGAGTCAGGAGGCAACTTTGCAGGGGGGCTTTAATGAGCAGACAGAAAGAAAAGGGGCCCCAGTTGGCAGGGCCAAGAGGAACTTTGAGAAGAGTTAACTGAGCTGTGTGCTATGGGGGCTGTGTTGTAAAACCTTCCCATAAAACCTTCAGTGAAGTCACCATTGCTCACGAATGCTTTTGGTGAGGGTGGGAATGTAAAGAGATGCAGAGTCCTACACAGGAGCAGGCAGGGACCAGGACAGCATGTGTGCACCAAGGGCCAGTGTTGTCTACTAGAATTCTCCATTTGGATGGCTCTTCAGAACCTCCAGCTCAACCTGGCTTCCTGACCTCTCTTGTCCAGATCTCCATCCCTGGCCTGGGCACCCTCTTGACTTCCTCCTGGTCACCAGTCGTGGATACGTCAGCCATCTGTCTCTCAGCCCTTTGTCTTGATTGGCTGGATCACCGTAGATGCTCCCAGAAATGCCCCCCTTCTTTAGTCCTTCCTGTCCTTCCTCCACTCTGATTCCTACCCTGACCCAGGCCATCAGCTCTAGGCCTGAGTTTTCAACTTTTCCTCCTTTCTCCTATCTACCACCCATTCTGGTGGACCCAATCTTAGTTCCTTAAATCTGTTTTCACTGGGACACGCCCCAGTTGCACTTGATTAACAGCTTCCCAATTTCTCTCAGACTCAGAGCCTTCATAATCAAATGTGTTCTGGTAACTGTCTTATTTGTCTGTAGATCCATTTCCCTTGCCCCAAATCCAACCTAACTGCCCACTGTTACATCCTCTCCATGTTTCTTCTTCCTTTGTTCCTCCTGTTCCCCACAAACATGCATTGCTTCCAGCCACCTCCAGCAGCTCCTAAGGCAGAGTCTGGCATAAAGTTGATACTCACTACCATTTACTCACTGAATGAACAAATAAATACACACAGTTTCTACTCCTGTCTTCTGCTTTGCTTAGAACACCTGTATCTGTCTCCTCCTCCCTCACAAGTCCTCCTTGGTTTTCCAGGATGCTGCTCATACCCCATTTTTCCCCAGGAGATATTTACTGACTTTTCTAAAGCTCCCATACTCTTTTTACCTTGCCCCTTTTAAGTTCTTCTAGTACTTAAGGTCTCTAAAGCACAAACGCATGGTCCACAATTACTTCAAAAGTGATGCTCTCATCATTGCCCTCCCTCTCAGCTGTAAATGCTGTAAGGGTGGAGTCCATGCCTAGGACAACATGTAGCACAGAACAAAGCACACGGCACTCAAGAAACTGGTAAAAAAATAAATAAAATAATCTTTTGTTTGCTTTACAGATAGATGAAGCCAAAAGAAGCAGAGCAACGAAAGTGACCTCCCCAAGCCCTGCAGTCAGGCGGGAGTGTATGGTGCCCCTGCCGCTACTCACTTTGGTAACATGGGTGGTGGTAGAGGTTGAGAGGGTTTCCGCGGTGGCGCCGTAGGAGCTGGTGAGGACATCTTTCCCGATGATCTGCAGAATATAACCACCCCCCACCCCGGGTGTCAGGTAAGGACATTGGACTCTGAAGGGGTGGGGCTGAGGTGGAGTAAACCAAGGGAAGAGGATGGGCCCTAAGAAGGTGACATTTGGAAGCCAAGATGCTTGGATCACTGAGTCTAAGAATTCAAGAATACTGGAATCTTTAGAATCCTACACCCATAAAATTCTCAAACCCTGGAATCTAAGATTCCTACAACCTGAGGTCATTGTAGGCTCAGAATTCGAATCCTTTAGGATTAAAAATCCTAGAATCTTAGAAGAACTAACAGAGGGATCTACGGTGGAAACAGAGTCCTCCTGATCCCCTATCCCGTCAGAGCCAGGAATACACTCTCTCCAGGGCTAGATGATGAGAATAAGAGACTTGCAGAATGCGAGAGCTCAAAGAGAACATGCGCTGACATGCTCAGGGTCACAGGAATGGCCACTAACACAGTCAGGTCCAGAATCCAACCCTCTGGACAACCTGTCTACTGCTCTTCCTGAACAGTGAGGTCAGTAAGGGAAGCAGATGCAAAAGAGCTCTCACAGGTGACATGGTGAAGGGCCATTTCACCCTCACACTGTCAATGTCTGGTTTCACTGTGTGTGTGTGTGTGTGTGTGTGAGTGTGTGTGTGTATGCGAGAGAGAGATAGAGAGAGAGAGAGCAGGCAAGGGCTGTTGTGGAGAGCAGCTGGTGAGACAAGACTCTGGTGTGTACTAGGGAGCCCCTATGGGCATCTGACAATGATTCAGCTTCTTGGCACCTCCCTTAAAAGGGCAGCCTTTGGGGCTCGACGTTGCACTGGCAGCAGGCCATCAGCACTGAGTCCCCTAGCCTAAGCTAGCCCTGCCCACTTACCGGAGAAAGAGAACGGATTTCCGTGGCCACCGTCTGTGGGCCTGGGATCATGGCAGCTGCCCCCTTCCCGGACTTGAGACTGTTCTCCTGGGGAAACAATAGCGCTCAAATCTCCAGGTTTGAGGTGAGCGGGTCCCCGGGATGGCTGGAGCAGGTGGCCTTGTGGCTCTCACAGCCGCATGGTTGAGTTGTAACATAAGAAGCAGAGTCTAAAGGCATCATTCAGTTCAGTCTCTCATTCATTCACTCAACTGCTCACTCACATACTCACACACATTCAGTCACCATTTACTGAGTGCCTGGTGTTAGGGACACTGTGGTGAACAAGACACTGTAGTGCTCTCTGGAAACACTAACATAGGAGCTGAGACATTCAGGTTCTCTTCTTGGTTCTGCCACATTCTAGCCATGTGACTTGGGGCATAGCCACTTTCTCTCTATGGGCCTCATGGGTTCACCTGTAAAAAGGGACCTCCTTGCCCTGTCCTACCTTCCATGGAGTCCTTATGAGGCTAAGGGAGGAGAATAGGCTTTGTAAACCAAAATCTGCAGGATGAATGGAGGAGTATAGGCTGGCTATTAATAATATAATAGTAGTTACTGTTTTCTAAGTCCTTTCTACTTGCTAGGCACTATGCTGAAGATGTTATCTCATTTAACCCTCATAACAATGCTAGGGAACAGTTTTCTAATATTCCTGTTTTACAGATGAGACCTGGAGGGCCAGAGAATGTAAGTGGCTTGTCTATATCCACCAGTGAGTTAGTGATAGAGCCAAAATTTAAATCCATGTTTATCAGACTCCAAGTCCTATATACTCTTTCTGCCACACCTCTCTGTCCTCTAAATGCATACTGTTGAACCTGGTCCTATCTTGGATTCCAGCTGCTGGGTTCAGCCTTTCTAGGATCTGGCTTGATAGCCTTGGAATTGTCCATGAACTTATTGTCCTATCTCTGGCAAGGGGCCTGGCTGCCTGCTTCTATCTCCCACTTTCTGTACCATGCCAGGGCTCAGCCTTGTCTGTCCAGGGGACCTGTGTTTGTTCTGCAGCTCCTCTGTGAGTTGAACCCCAGTGCATGGAGTAGATTGGACCTCTGTTTGCTCAGGGATTGGTGAGCACAGAGACCCTATGCCTTGCCCCTGCCTATCTCCCATACTTGCCTCTAGCTTGAGACTGTCAATGAGCAGACAATTTGGTAATCCATCCACACGGTACTTCCTCAGGCCTACCTGGAGTCCCAGAATGGGGCTCAGTGGCAGGCCTTAAAAGGGCAGTCTTCCAGGCTCAATGGTTCCTTTCTCCCAGCTTAGGAAATAGCCCATGGCCCCTTTGGGTTCTATTGTCACTCCAGGCCATTCTCCCTTAAACCTTCTTATGCTCTCACTGATCCCTTTTTCCACCTTCACTCTGAAAACAAAGGCCACTAATGGGGAACAGGCCATTCAAGATGAGACCCCATTTGTTCTTCTCTGCCCCTCCTGGATCTTCAGCCAGCCCTGTCTCCTGCCTCAAGGAGTGGTTCCTCTTCCTGGCCAAGGAGAACCTGCCACCTCCACTCTGGACCCTTTCCCTTCATTCCCAGGACTCTCCTCACTTGCCACCCTCTCTCTGGGCCACGTTAGCCACACAAGGGCTTCCGCTGCCTCATCAGTGTCAATGTCTCCTAGCTCTTTATCTGTAGCCCATATTTTTCTTGAACCTCAGACTTTTAAAGGAGCTCTGGTAGCATAGTGGCTAAGACACTTGCCTGCTAACCAGACGGCTGGCGGTTCAAACCCACCAGCCACTCCTCGGAAGGAAGGTTGGGCAATCCTACTTCTGTAGTGATACTGCCTCGGAAACCCAAGGAGGGGTCGCTATGAGTCAGGTTTGACTTGACGGCACATAACAACAACAACAACAACAACTGGTAGCATAGTGCCTGAGGCACTTGACTGCTAACCAGAAGGCTGGCGGTTCAAACCCACCAGCCACTCCTCAGAAGGACGGTTGGGCAATCTACTTCCGTAGTGATACTGCCTCGGCAACCCAAGGAGGGGTTGCTATGAGTCAGGTCCAACTCGACGACAGCACATAACAACAACAACAACAACAACAGACTTTCAAAACTAGGTGCATTGTAGAAATGTCTCACAGGGACCGCAGACCCAACAAATGCAAAATGGAATTCTCTGCTTCCTCCTGCCCCTGACCCATACCTGTCACCAAACCTGCCTCTCCTCCACTAGTGCTGTGTAGATCATTAGTTCTCAAACTAGAGGGCTTGCTAGGTTGCAGGCCAGAGTATTTGGTTCAGTTGGTGTGCGATGGAGCCTGAGAATGTATTTCTAACAGATTGCCAGGACCACACTTCGAACACCACTAGACTAGTGAATGCGTCACTAGCCTGTCTTCCCTTTCATCACGTGAATATTCTATCAAGGATCAGATCCTGTACTTTCCTCCCTCCAGGCATTTCTTACTTCTGTCCCCTTCTCTGCAGTCACCCCCTCACACTCTAGCCCTGCCCCAGCCAGGGACCCTGCCTCCTCTGTCTCTCCCTTTGGGCGTGTGGGCCCCAGAGCTGAGAAACTCTGTCTTCTTCGATGCTGGATTCACAGTGCCTGACATAGTACTTCACACATCGTGGGTGTTCAATAAATATTTGTGGAAGGAAGGAGGGAGGGAGACAGGCAGGGAGCGGGGAAAGGGATTTTTGTTCTAGCCCATATGCTCCACACATGCTGCTAGAGTAAATCTTTCTAAAACACAGAAACACATATTTGATCGTCACATCATGCCTCTACTTAAAATATTTCAGTGATTCTCCATTGTCTCCAGGATGAAGTTTTAACTTCTTACATGATGTATCAGGCCCTTCAAGCTTTGGCCCCAGCATTCTTTCCCGGCCTCTTCTCTCCCTGTTCCTCCTGCACACATTTGACATCTCAATTTAGTGACCGACCAATTGCCTCTCCCATAACATGCTATATCCTTCCCATTCTTGCCTTTGCACCTGCTGTTCTCACTCCTCGATTGCCTTCTCCCATAGTTGTACCTTAGTCTATCCTCCAAGCACAGCTCAAATACCACTGCCTAGGGAAAGCCTTTTCCAGTTCTTCTCCCCATACTGATCCTCCCTGTGCACCCTAGGATAGCGTTACTACACTGTTAAGTTTCTGAAAGCAGGAAAAAAGTAACAGCAGCTCATACTCAGAGACTACCTACTATATGCCAGGCATTGTGCTAAATAAGGGCTTGGCATAGACTATCTTAGTTCATCCTTACATCAGCCCTTTGAGGTAGATGCTATTATCCCCCTCTGCCTTCCTTTTACAGAAGGAAAAACTGAGGCTTGGAGAGGTTCAGGTAACTCGCCCCAGGTCATCCAGCCAGGAAGTAGAAGAGCTGGGCCTTGTTCACCACTGTGTGCCCAGGACCTGAACTCAAAGGTGCAGCACATTAACGGTGCTTGTGGTTATATTTTCAATGAGTGAATTCTGACAGGCAGTATATTTTCTTCAACTCTGTATCCCCATATCAGGCAGATAGTAGAGACTAATAAATGTTTTTGGAACAAATGAATGGATGATGGATGGATGAGCCAATGAGTGACACAAACTGCCAATTCATCAGAAGAATGAATTTAAGCTTAGCCCTATAAGTATCCTGATGCCATGTGGTGAAGGGAGAGGTGGAACGCAGTAACCCAGGAAAGTGTGCAAGTTGGTGATGGGTTAGGGCTTATTTGTTTTAAAATCTGTGTTTATTCAGAACCTAGCTGGGTAGTCTAAATTGATAACATTCTCCTCCTATGCATGTATCAGGGGTTTGGCAGGGAAAACATTTGAAAACAACTTCCAGAACTTCTCTAGCCTTAGCCTCAGTCCAGCCTCCCCAACTGACATTCACAATGATTAGAACAAAGGAGTAAGGCAAAGTGGCTGAGGTTGAGAGGGGGGCTTCAGGAGTCACTGCCTGGGTTTCACTTGGCTCTACCACTTAATCAGCTGTGTGACCTTGGGGAGGTCACTTTGCCTCTCTGAATCTCCGTTTCCTCATCTGTAAAGGGTAGAGAAACAAGCATCCACCTCATAGTTGAGGACTCAATCCGGATACTGAGGATTCAACGAGACAGTGCCATCACAGTCCTCAGCACACTGCCTGGCACCATGGCATATGTGCCAAACACCACTCCGTTCTGTTTCATCATCAAATGCACTTATCTCAATGGAGTCTCACAAGAACCTGTGAACCAGGCAGGATGGGGATTTTCCCATTTTACAGATGAGGAAACCAGAGGCCAGAATAGGAAAAGGGCCTTTCTTTATGGGTCAGACAGCAAACAGGTAGCAGAACCATTAGGCTCTTTGGGATTTGGTCCCAAATCCTGAATTTCCAATTTAGGATCACTGAACGCCATCTACTGACCAAGGTGAGGAAGTGGCCTGAGACATAAGAGAAAATGCACTGCCGCCAGGGTGGGTCCTCAGGAGGGTCTTCAGTCTCTCCTTCAGACACATAGTGAGATTGACCAGCATAGTCCCCACTGTTACAAATAATCAAATAATACAATCCCTCCTTTCACTCCCTTCCATGGCTGAGATGGTCCAGAGATTCAGGGATTCTACCTCCCACACGATGCCATTTGGAAAACTGAGGTCTGACTGTATTTTCTGGGGCAACTAATATACCATACAGTAAGAATTTGACTGTATGTCCCAGGCCTGGTGCAGCAAGGGCAGATGAGGACTCCCTGAAGCTCTGGAGCAAAGTTAGCTTATTATCTGGCTGTTTTGGAGGTAGAGGGGCTGGTCAGAGAGGGAGGCCTCCTGGGTCCTACTTACCATGGTGGTTGATATGGTCTCTGTGGTGATGGAGGGGGTAGTTGTTGTGAAATCCTTCACCCCTGGGGTACTCCCATCAACCTGCAGGCCAGAGGAGGTGTTATTAGAGGTAGGGAGAGCCGGATCCACCCTGCAGGCATGTGCAGGCTCATGACATTCTCAGTTACAGACAGCAGCTCTACTCTGTACACATGGGGTTGCCATGAGTCAGAATGGACTCAACAGCAACTAACAACAACAACAACAACAATCCTTCGACTAGCATTCCCACTGCTAGGAATTTACTCTTTGGATACAAACTGAAAAATCCACTGTGAACAAGGAAGTTCACTGCAGCACTGATCATTAACTGCAAAAACCAAAAACCACCACAAGGTCTACAAATGGCAGATGGACTAAAGAAATGAAGACTTGCCTCCTAAGTGGGACAGAAAAGAATAAAGGAGGTATATAGTAGGAGAAAGATGTAGCAGTCTGCTTCGATAAAGATTAAAGCCTCGGATGCCCCATGGGGCAGTTCTACTCTGTCCTATAGGCTTGCTATGAGTGGAAACTGACTCGACAGCAACAGATGGGCAATGAGTACAGCCTCCAATAGGAATGATCTCTAATGATTTAAAAAAGAAAAAAAAAAAAGCAAAGCACCAAAGAATATGCTCTCTTTTGTATGAAACTGTTACATACATAGAGATTCAGGTGTGTGTGTGTGTGTGTGTGTGTGTGTGTGTGTGTATGTTGGCTGATACATAAACTTTTTTATGGTAGGAATCATAAGAAAATTTTAATTTTGTTCTGCTTGAATTTTCTAACTGTGAATATTTTTATTTTGTTTTGATTTCAATAACGATCCTGGGGTGTGGGATTTAGAGCCACATTTCTAGTTTTTGCCTTTGTATTTTTCTGTATTAAAAAACAAAACAAAACAAACACTAACATATGATATTAAATCAAACAGGCCAGAGAGGGGAAGCATCTTGCCAGTAATTATACAGCCCATCAGGACTCAAGAGTCTTGACCAGACGACCTCATAAAGCCCCTATGTGTTATAAAAGTGGAAAAAAAAGTCAGGAAAGGACACAATTGTTCACATTGTGGTTGTTTTTTTACTTCAGGTCTTGAGACAAAGTCTAGGCTCCAGGGCAAGAAAGCCCCCAGCACTAGAGCTGTTCTGGCCAGGAAGAACCAAGAGGGCATCTATCAGACCCACAATCTCAATTTTCAAAGTTTAAAAATCACAGAAGGAACTTAGGAAATGTACTGTAAATAATGCATCTGTGTCTACTCATGACTGCTTTCTCTAGTGCGCTAAGTCTGCTTCTTCTTGTTAAGACAAATGATATATGGCTTTCAATTTGTTTATTTTGCCAATCTGAAACTCCCATGCATATAAAATTATCCAAGGTGAGTTGTTTTGACTAAAACTGGACTGAGGATCACTCTCTCTTCCCTTCCAAAGAAGCCCCTGGGATACCTCAAGAAACCTCTCTGGCTCTTTTAAGTCATCAGACATTTGCTATCCTAATCCACTAGAGCTCTCAATGCTGCCAGGAGAAAGGGGGAGACAGATCATTCCCATTTTATAGATGGAGAAATAAAGGCTTTAAGAGTGGTCTGCCCAGGACAAGAACCCAGGACCACTGAGAACCCAGGAAGAATACGGAGTTCAGAAGAGTATCAAGGTTCAAATGTGGGCTCCAGAGGAGCTAAGGCAGGAAAGCCTGGTCAAAGAGCTTGGCCATAACAGTGGGACCCTGCTCTTAAACACCCAATACTTGTGCTCAGGGTACATGGGAAGGCACGGATTACCTGGGTGGTATCCACAGCGGTGACTCTGGTCTGCAGCACAGCCTCTGGCTCGATCTTCTTCCTGATGGCCAAGCTGCTGACAGTCATAGTTTCTGTTTTCACTGGCTGTAGGGAGATGAGGGAGAACATTCCATAACTCAAGCTCTGGCATGATTCCTGGTTACAAGCAATTGTGGCATAGTGTCAGCCGGTTACCTCCTACCAGTACAGCTGGCCAAAGTCTCCAGAAGGGTATGTGAGTCAGAACAAAAGAGGCATGGTGTAAAGTCACAGACTAACAACCCAACAGGAAAGCCAGAACCACCACCAGCACTCAGACAGCCCTGCCACATGACTCCACACCACACCACCTCATAGTGGCTACATGCTATTTTTTTAGGCTACCATTAAAGGAGCATTTCTGGTAGACAATTAATATACTCTGTGCCAGGCCCCACACTAACGTCACTGCATCCTGAATGACTTCAATGGCTATGCCTCCACCTTCCCATTGCTTCTTTGATTTGTTCTCTAGGAGAGGAGCCGCACACCTGGATGCCTGCAGGGGCCAGGCCGATGTAAAGGAGTGAGTTGGACTTGTTGAGGATCAAGGGGAACAAAGAACACGTCTCGTTCCATTCAGACTGGGCTAACTGTTGCCATTCAGTAGTGCAGGTTCTGATTGTTTAATGATATTAAAAAAAAAATCTGGATTTTATGTCTGCCTTGAACATTGTGTTCTTTTAAGATCTATATGGGATCAAACTGACAACAGCACCTGGAAAGGTTAGATAGGAACCTTAGAGGTCAGTGAGTTTATGTAAATGGGGGACAAACAACTCAGAGAAGGAGGATGGGAACGGTTGCACAACTCAGAGAATGTCATCAATGTTACTCGATTGTATGTGTAGAAATGGTCGTATTGGTGTATGTTTTGCTGTGTATAGTCTCAATAACAAAATAAATACAATTTTGAAAATAATAAAACAAAATTCTACATTTTATATTCAATGTCCTGATTTTTAAATCAGGGTCAAAGAAAACACATCTGCTGCCCAGATCTGGCTCGAAGCTACCAGTTTCCAATCTCCTCTAGATGTTTAAGGGGAATGATCAGTTTCTTCTGAGGCCTCCATTAAGCCTAGGTGGCTATATGTGCTACAGGCATCAACATATCTGAGTTGAATGAATAAATGAATGAAAGCCTAGTCAGTCATCTGGTGGGTGCGGCAGTTGAGGTGGGGATGGGGGCTTCATACACATGGTTATAACCCTAAGATCTACTGATTCTTTCAATTAGTTGTCTTCTAAGTGCCTGAGGTTTGCCAGGCCTCAAACCAAGTGGCTTAGAGGAGCTCCTACCTGGCAAGAGAGCTGACCTATCAGCTGACAACCTGACTGCTTCAGATAATGCCAAAGCAGAGGCATTAAAGGGGTAGGGGAGGATGACTTCTGTACAGGGTGGCCAGGAAAGCTTGTGCTACAGAACTGACATCTGAATTGCACCCTGGAACATGACACATTCACAGGCAGAAAAAGGGAGAAAGAGCACTTGTGTCACTAGGGGGGTACGGGCCACACTGTCAGAGGGAGTGCCACCAAAATTACTGTCTATGAAATTTTTGTGCCATGTTTCATCAGAAATTATTTTTTTTCAATAAAAATATCCCCGCAGTTAGTTATAGCAACAAAAACATTTTCTGTAAGCCTAGCTTACATGTGTCAATATACCTACAAGGCTAAAACTCTATGGTAATTAATTTCTGAACTTTCTTTTCTAATGCACTTTCCACCACTTGTCTGCCAGTCTGTCTCACTGTGGTGGCTAGTGTGCTGCTGTGACACTGAAGGCTATGACACTGGTATTTCAAATACCTGCAGGGTCATCCATTGTAGAAGGATGAGGCCTTCCACTTCTGAGAAAACTGGCCACTGAAAACCTTATGAATAGCAGTGAAACACTGTCTGATACATTACTGGATGACCGGGCACTGTTTTGTTTTGTTGTACGTAGGGTCACTATGAGTTGGAGCCAACCCGATGGCACCTGACAACAACAGCAATACACTCTGGTCAGAGCAGTCATTATTACTCAATTATAATGATGCTTCAAATCACGTGGTTTCATCTGTGCTTGCTACAAGCACGTGCTATTGTTTTCATTGCTGCCAGTGTTTTACAGTCACTGACTGGAAAAAGCCTTATATCCAGAGGGTACAGCATGGAGTGAGATCCCAGAGTGGAACAACTCATATTGCAATAACTGGAACATAGGTGAGAGGAGGGTGTGATAGTAGTTAGGCCAGAGCTGGAAGCAATATGTGAGCAAAGAAAGACATGGATTAGAAAGATCCCTTTGCAGCTCTGTAGAGGAGGGACAGAAAGCAGAGAGATCCAGACAGTCTATCCTGTGCCCACTCAATGAGATGTTTCTTTTTCTCTAGGAGCTTCCACTAGTACCCAAAGACCCCGGGGCCAGATGGACTGAAACTGCTGCGCCTTCCCCAGGAAGTCCAAGACCTGGGGAGAGGAGCCTAGGCCTGGATCAGGAAAAATCATCCAATTTTCAGACCATGTCACAGGTGGCCGATAGTCTACAAACACATGCTCTCTGTGGGTGCCATGCAACACAGGCAGGGAGAGGAGGAGGAGTTGAGTAAGACCAGCCTGTCTCCCACCCTTCCTATCCTGTCATCGCTTAACCCCAGGCAAGCAATGGGATCACAGGGTTAAAATGCCAAGGAGTGTGCATTACAGTTAAGCCAACATGGCAAACATGCGAGCACAGAACCATGCTGTTCTGTGGAGGGGCAGTCATGCAACATGAGACCAGGCTTCAGGATGCAGGCCTCTGGGCTGCAGGCTGGTTGCTCAGTCTTCTCACAGAGGGCCCAGGGTCCTCTGAACATGCAATGCCAGGAGAAGACACGTGGGTCTTGATGCTGCTCCACTGTACCTCAAACTGGGGCAAATCCGGGGTGGAGCAGGCCCCTCGATCCGGGCTGTCCTCATTTTCCCCAGACTCATCATCCTGGCTGGGGGCCCCTTTGCTGAGATCCCGGGAGAACACCAGGCCTTCAGTTTCTGAATCACTTTTGTCTCTGTCGAGCTCAGGCAGGCTGCGGGAGAAGTCTTCAAAGGCGCTGCCATGGTAGTCACCGATAACCGTGAAGTCCACCTCAGCCTCCAGGCTGGACGTGGAGCTGACTGTGATGCTGGAGCACTTGCGCTCAATGGCCAGGTGGTTGTCCTTCAGGAACACCGCATCCCTCTCCTGATCCTGGTCCTCGTCGCCTGTGTCGCTCTCTGGGGCCTTGGGACGTGGTGGTTTGACTTTCTCCTCCGAGCCCTCCCTCAGCCCTGCTCTCTATGACCAGACAAAATCAAAGGAATGGGGATGTGGGGTAGGGGGAGAGAGAGAGATCAAGATCGTGAATGTCAGAAGAAATCTTGGGGCCATGTCAATGGAAGAGCAGGTCAGGAAAAGAAAAACACCCCCAGGAAAGGTTCCTTAAAATAACAAACTTATAAAACCAAAAACTTCTCAAGAGTGGGAATGCTCCTTCCCGAGGGTCCTGCCAATCCAGGCACTAATGGCAAAAGCAAGTACAAAGCAGATATCCTGCCAGTGGGCCCTGGACAGGAGGCTCTATCCAAGGTTTAGATCTAGGAGCTCATCAAAAGCAGCACTATGCGAAAGGCAGCAATGACAGCCTGGACCCCAGGCCCATCTGTGCAGTCGGCATTGAGAGACAGAAAATAAGGAGGGAGACCCAAGGATTCAGGGAAACCCAGGAAAGGGAAGGCAGAGAGGCTGGAGCCAAGAGCCTTGAGGGGTAAAGAGGAAGCCAATCTGGTTTGTCAATTCCACTGAGTCTCTGTGGGAGAGTTCAGCTTCACTTAGAGGCAGAACATTACTGGGTAAGGTACCTTCGGGCACAAGCTCCCTGGGAGCTAACGTGCTACACAAATTCAACCCTGAGCTCCACAAGTGGGCCAGGGGGCAGGCCACACGGTGGAGGTTCTGGTCCCATCAGTGTAATTGACAACAGCAGGCCAAGGAAATGCCTAAGGGGAACCAGCAACTCTTGTCCGACATACATACCTCTCAACTGGCCTGTCAGGGATTTAACACCACACACAAACATTTTTTACTATTTCATGACCTTCTTTTTTTAAAAGCAATGTTACACCCACAAAATACTTTAAAAGTACTTGTCTTCAGGTTCTGGAGATTCAGTACTACACTTAGAGATTTGCTTGCATGGGGCACAATGCCCTAAATGAGCCTCCCTTCAGCCAGTTTCTGGAAGGTTGAGAGGTGTGAGGAATACATTCCAGACAAGCCAGAGTTGAGCAGCCACAAGAGGCACTGCCAGAGGCAGATGGAATCTAACGCAACTACGCATCCTTGCAGGTGATGATGACCGGGTCATGGGGCAGAGAGGAACTGCAGAGACCTGAGGGCCTGAGGGGCTGGCGAATCTCAGGCGCCCTCCCTTCCCAGGGGTGTCCACTGCTAAGTTGATGAAGTGCTTCTCTTCCCTGATCGCATCTCCGGACTTGCTCTGGATTAGAGAAGATGGTTAGTCTTAAGGAGGCAGAAAGGAACTTGACATTGGGACTAAGAGGGAACCAGAAGTGAAGGATAGAAACCTATGGACTGTCTACTTCCCCAAGGCAGCAGAACTAGGGGAAAGGGAAGGATGAAGGAAGATCACTGGACAAGCCAAGCAAGACAGGTAGGAATCTGGCAGGTGGGAGCAGCAAGGCAAAGCAAGTGTAGTTGGCTGGTGGTGCTGCTAGCTACTCCGTTAGAGTTATGCGGACCCTCTGGGTACCAGGTCACACCAGAAGCTGGTGGTCTTTAGGGCCAAGCTAACATGGATCAAGCAGATGAACCCATCATTCAGTCTGCCTACAATCAGGCCTGTCTTGGGAAAAAGAACTCATAGGGATGGACAAGCAGCCTCTGATTGCAGTAATGACAAGGGGCCACAGAAACATGCTTCTAAAGAGCTACACAGCATGCGGTCAGTTCCCCCAAGAGGGGCAGTGGTAGGGGCAGGGGTCACATGGCCAGTTACCCCAGCAGCTTCCTCCAGCGTGGTTTCACAGCCTGAATCAGGGGACAAGAGCTCTAGTTCCATGCATCCTTCCTGGTGGGATGTGGTAGAAAGGTTGTCCTCGAAGTTTCTGGTGCCCAGAGGCACTGTTGAGGAATATGTGACTTTGGGGCTGGCAAAGTCTCCTGGGGGCTGTAGTTGCATGAAGCCCAGGTCTAAAAGCTTATTCCGCTGTTGTTCTACCTGGCCTGTGGAGGCCTCTGGAGACAACTCATTTGGAATGGTCCTTGTTTCACCCTGACTTGCTCGATGAGTTTCAGCTCCATGGGTCTCAAATATCCTAATTTTGTTGGCTACTGAGGTCTTGCTAATATCCTCCAGGGAGCCTTCTTGGCTCCCAGCCTGGAAAGAGGTCATCTCCTTTTGCTTCCCTGAAGAGAACACCAAACCCGGGGGTATGATCTCCTCAGCTTCCTCAGGAATAATTCTGGGCTTTCTACTGGTGATGGGAGGCAGCTTGTGTTCACCTCCATCAGGGGTCACAACCAACGGTACAAGGTCCTTGGGATCAAGGCTCTGGTTGGGAGGATGGGCATGTTTGAGAAATACAGGGGCCTGTTCTCCAAAGGGATCCCTGAACTCTGGAGGCTCCACTGACCTACGAGGGGCTGGGTTTTGAAAATCTTCTGGAACTGCCAGAGCCTTAAATTGATCAGGAGAGGCTGGAAGAGGGGTGATCACCTCCATCTGAAGAAATGCTGAGGCTTCATTGTCCTTTGTCTCAGGTTCTCCTCTTTGGGTGTGAAACAGACCCATCTCTGTTCCAAGTTTGGCTGGTTTATTTGTATTATTAGGAGGAATGGTCAAAAGAAGGGCACAGGCCTCAAGGTGTGGGTGTACAACACCATCTCTGTGAGGTGAGTGGTTCTTCAGTCCTGCAGAGGAACTTTTCTCAGCCTTTCCCATCAAATCTCCATTCACAGGGACCTCTTCCTCGTTGGATCCGCTGGCTTTTGGGTGGGTCATCTCTTCTTTCACTCCCTGCTGGACTTCTTCCCAGTTCTCAGCAAATGTCTGCTCTGGAGAAGGGCTCTTACTGAGCTGCTTGACAAAGACTTTAAGGTCATCCGGTTCTCCATGGCTCTTAGGGGACCTTGTCCCTTCCTCTGAAAAAGCTGTGGGGGCTTCATCCATGTTCCTGCCAGGAGCTGCATCAGAGCCCAGCTGGTCTGAGGAATTCACCAGAGAGCTCTCTGGGAGCTCCTCCAAGAGCTCCAGCCTGGTCTCATTTCCAGGAGGGACATCCAGGTACTCTTCTCTCTCCTCCAGTGGGGGAGGGAGGGCTTGGTCTTCAGAGTCTTTCTCTCCATAGTTTAAGTAGAAGCTCCTTTCTGCAAAGGAGGTATCAGTTTCGTCACTTGAGTCAGCTCTGGCTTCTGCATGGGCTGGGTCCAGCAGAAATGACTGGAGTCCTCCTTTGTCAGAGGCTGGAGATAGGAGGTCCACCTCTGCTGGCCTGGTCCCTGAGGCAGCAAGTCTTCCACAAGTCTGAAATTCCTCTAGTTCCTTTCTCAACTCCATGTGACTTGCCTGCTGACCAGCTGAGACATGGTGGTTCTTGATAGTTGCCTCTTCAGTGCCCACCCTGAGCTGAGAGCCCTCTGGGATCTTTTCTACCAATGCGCAACCTGCGGTCAGGGAAGCCCTGCGCAGGTCTTCTCTGACCCAGGGGCCTTCCTCCCACACAGATTCAAAGTCTTCAGGACTTGCAATCATCCTTCCTCGTTGCTGGGTATTTGTTCTTCTGATTTCCACCATTTCTTCCGTAGCCACTTCAACTTTAAACTTGTCCACTAGAACATCTACCTTGGAGAGTCTACCATCAGCCAGGATATCAGCAAGACCTGCCCCACTTTCTTCCTGCTGCAGCGTGGCCACTTCTAGGAGATTGAGTTCTTCTGGCCTAGTGTACTTTCTTTCTATAAATACCCAATGTTCTGAACCCTGTGTTTCAATTGGAGCAAGAAGAATTAACATGAAATTATCAGGTACCTAAAGAATGGGTCATTTTTTCCCTTTGTAACAAGGGACAGATCTATAGCTGAAATGTGGACTCTAGGATGGCATGTCCCCAGAGGGGAGGGGAGGAAGGCAAAACAATGCCAGTCATCTTCATCAAGGCTACTTTTCCCATCAAGGCACCCTGTGAATTATTTAATGACTCTCCTCAACCATCCTCCCCCACTTGGTAAAATGGGATGGGGTCTTATGCCCTCCTGATATTAACCATGGGGCAACAGAGATCCATAGATGGGCCAGGACCCGCCTAACCATCACACATGTCCCTGAAATCAGAGTCATTTTCCTCTTATAATAATGTAACTGGCACTGTCAGAAGGGAAGGAGCTTATGCCATATGGAATCTTTGAATGTTAGAGCTGAAAGAACTTCTTAAGACATCATTCTGTTCAATCTCATTGTGGAAACGGGGAAACTGAGGCCTGGAAAAGGTCCGTTACTTGCCCAAGGTTACAATTAGTTGATGGCAGAGTCAGAATGTCTGATTTTTGATGCCTGAGACCTGTAATGATTTATCTCACAATTTATGGAATATGGGTTCCAACTGTGATGTAACGTCAAGCTGAGAGAAAGCATTAAGTTCCATAGGCCACAGCCTGACATCTGACTTTTCTACAGAAGCTTCTGGGGAGGAGACAGATTAGTACTGAAGATAGAAGCAGCAGCTCCAGAGGTTAGTGTCAGTTGCCACAATAGCTTAAACAGCTTGAACACTGTGGTGTTCAGTCCAAAAGAAACAATACTAGGCCCATCCTTGAAGAATTCCAACAAAATCCATAGAAAGTGTAGAAAAGGACTGGTCAGAACACATCATGGAAGGAAAAGATCTAAAAGTCCAAGCAGCAAGTCAAAGGTACCAAACAGAGTCTAGTACTGTCAAACCATCTACAAATCTCCCCTGAAGAGCCCTTTGAACAGTGCTTAGGAGAGAGTGAATATACTTTTAGAATACTGAAAAAGCAAGAAGTCTATTGGGTTTTAATCTTTTAACCACAGAACACTTTCTTCATTAAATAATGAAGTCCAATAAGTAATACAAATGTAGAGCTGCCCTGTTGAAGTCAGGGGCCTAGCTACCACAGTGTCCTGAGGGATCTCTCTTCTTTGAAGTGACTGCTCTGATTCAAGACCCTCATGATACAGATGTGGAAAACTAAGGCCTAGAGAAGCTGAGTACATGCCCGAGTGTCAGAGTGAGCTAGAGGCAAATCAGGCCTAGAAC